ATCCACTCTTTGTGACTTTTAATACCCAATGAAACTATATTGTTCTTCGTTATTACTATTCCTTTTGTCTTATATCCCTGTCCGGTCTCTCTGTTTTGCATTTCTTCTACTTTCTTCTCTTGCTTTGTGTGCTACATGGAGGGAGTGTGGCGACTCGAACTGCTGCACATCGGTGCAAAGTTCTATGTTGAAAACAGACCGACTCTGAGCTGTACTAGATCTCTTGTGGGAGCTGTGGAGGACTTATTCTGTCGACTATATATTATCATCATTGCGCAAAGTTTTGTAATTTGTCTGTCGATATACCTTGATCAAGCATCAATTGATATTTCTTTTTTGTTTTCATAACAGATGGGAACGTCAAGATGAAATTTCTGCTGCTTTAAAGGCTGGTATCAGTGTTGTTGTCGATCGTTACAGTTATTCGGGTATTGCTAATACAGCTGCGAAATTTCATCCACTCTCAGAAGCTGATTGGCAATGGTGTCGTTCCACAGAATCTGGTCTACTACAACCTGATTTTATATTTTGTCTTGCCCCGGAAAATTTCGCTGAAATCACAGTACGTGATGGATTCGGTGAAAAGAAATTTGAGACACCAGATTTTCAGAAACAAGTTCTTATCAATTATGGTCGTCTGTCACGTGAAATGGAATCAGAATTGAATGAGGCTGCTGGTGGTGATGCTGCTACTGAGACAAAAGACTTGGAACCACGACTATGGCATTGGATACCAGCAACTGGACAAACTGTAGACGATACACATTCATGCATAATGGCAATCATCGATCCAAAACTATAGGGGGTTCCTTTTTAAATATAAACTTTTCTACATACTCTATGGTCTTTTGGTGTTCGCAATTTTCTTGTGAGAGTCACAGAAGGCGGTAGAAATCATAAAGGTACTCTTGTAACGGAAGAAGGGAAGAGAGTTAGTAAGGCACCATTTTTTAATTTGCAATTTGCGTCTATGTACTGGATGGAAGCACGATGTGCTAGTAGAATTAATGGATGCCAGCCACGTCTTCAGTGTACGGTTGATACTCTCAATCAAACCATTCGTTTGTGGATGATATGGTGTTGTTCTGATCTTCTTGATACCCAGCTGTTGCAAATAGGATGCAAATTCTTCATTTTTTAAAACACAGACCCTGATCCGCCAGTATCGTTTTTGGTACACCGTGGTCTGCAATAATGTGACGAACTACTGTGTCAGTCATAGTTCTTGCGCTTTTATCGGGGGTCGTGATGGCGTCTACTCATCGTGTGGCGTGCCCCATCATCACCAGGAGGTACTGATTACCATAGGATGTCTGCGGAAAAGGACCCATCACATCTATGGACCACCAGTCACCTACTGCGGTAATTGGAATCAACCGCAGAGGCGGTTGTATGCACTTATATACTTCCATCAACTGACACTGCGGACATCCAAGTACATATTTTGCCACATATTCTCTCATACATGGCCAGTAAATGTTTGGTCGGTTGTTCTGGCCACTCCTGTAGGTGCTAGCTGGTGGCATTCTTGTGTCATCTCATGGCGTAGGGACTGACGTATTCCCAAAAATATGGTGGAGATATGTAGATGGCACTTTCACAGTGTTAAAAACAGAATATATCTCTAGCTTCTTGACACACATAAACTCACTAGTGGAGAGAATAAAATTCACAGTTGAAGCCGAAAATGAACAAGGAGAATTAGCTATGTTAGATTGTAAAATAAAACGAATAGAAGAAGGCAAACTACACACTAGTGTTTATAGAAAACCAACACATTCTAATAGATATTTAGAATTTAATTCATCTCATCCTTTAACTGTTAAGGCAGGCTTAGTTAAGTGTTTAACAAACCGAGCAATGGCACTAAGTAGCACAAAAAAGACCTAAATGATGAAATAAAACAGATGGAAGAGGCGTTGGTTTTAAATAACTATCCTCTAAAATTCATTAGGAAGATTGAAAAAGGCCAAAAGAAAAATAATTGTGAAACTAGTAATAATAACATAAATAAGAAAGAATATAAGTCATCTACAGTTATACCATATAAAGAGGGGACATCTGAGACCCTACGTAGGATTCTAAATAAAGCAGGAATTAGGGTGGCATTTAAACCTACAAACTCACTCAGGGACAAGCTCTGTAGGTTAAAGGACCCAATGAGACAAAATGATATAATTTACAAAATACCCTGCAATGACTGTGAGGTCAACTACATTGGTCAGACTAATAGGTCAAGGGTAGTCAGATTGTCAGAACATAAGAATTCAGCTAGGGTAAGAGTGGTTAACCCCGAGAAGATGAGTAGTTTAGAAAAAAGCTCTGCAATTGCAATGGATGCTTTAACACACAATAGGGTGGGAGAGGGTTAAAATTCTAAAAAGTAATCTACGTAGGTTGTCGGGGAGAGGTTGATTTCTGAATCCCGCCTGGTTCATCGAATCTACACCCAACACATGCAATAGGAATGATTCATCACTCATGCCCGAAATATGGAAAATAATACTACCGATCAAATCAAGTGAAAACCAATGGAACTATATAAATGAATTTAGGAAGTCGTGTGATTACCTTGATATGATTATGAGCAATGAATTGTGCTCGAAACGTCATCAGTAAATATTACTGTATAACACTGTGAGATTTTATCAAAACAAAATTTACCCATAATGGAGTTCTCTCACCAAGTCAGAGTTCCGTAGGCGTTTACTCTTAATCAATCTGTCTGAGCAGCGTGTTTAGCTGTTATTTATGTCTTATTCTTAATGGGATCTTCATTGTGTGGAGGAAGTGACACCAAAATGTAAAACAGAAGGCAAGAGGCTTGGTAACGGACCTATTTTCAATTTTGCCTACTTTCTATCAATCTGTGTCTATATACTACTGATAATTCTTGTCAGTAGCACATGCCACAACATAAGTGAAGCGCAAAAATTCGTGAAATATGGAGATTTCTAAGAGATGATAGTTTGTCCGGATAGCCTGTTATTTGTCTACTAGTCTGTCTGACTCAGTTGGTTTGAACTGTGATGCTGGTCAGATTTCTTCCTCAGCTGCAGTCATCAATCACATACTTTATATTATCTCATGGGTCTGGCTGGCTGGCTGGATTCAACATAGAACTTGGCACCGAAGTGCAGCGGTTCGAGTTGCCACGTTGTTGTGATTTGAGAAACATTCGACCAGTTTTAACAAGGATTGATTGTCTGACTGAGGGAATAAATTCGTCGTAATGTCTTTCAAGTTTCGAAATTATTCTGAAGAGTGGAATGGGTCTCAGGTTCGAATCCCACTCCATCGAATTGAGTCTTTGCAGTTGACTAGAATCATCACGACCGGGTCGAGTCCCAGTGGCTGAATGGTCTTTGAGTCCGCCTTGTAGCCAGAAGGTCCTGGCTCTGAAACCTGGTGGGGGGGGGGTGCATACTGCCGAATAGTCCCCAAACCAGAACAAAACAACTGTCCAGTGATGTTTGGTTTCCCAGTGGTTCCCTAACTGATTTCAGCTAGTGACCAAGCGTGTCACCAATCAAATCCCTACAAACCAACACTTATTGATCCCTATCAGTAGATTTAAAGAAATTAGTCGCGTGAAATGTATTCATCGAACAGATTATAGTCACTGTGATTGGTTCTGCTCACCTGCATTAAACAAGTCGGGGAGGGAGGTGTTTTCGTAATAAATACGAATGTATTCCGCCGGTAAGATTTTGAAATAACAGAGATGGTTTGTAGCTCAGATGGATATTGTTTTGCTGCGGTTGTTTGCCCTGAACTGGATGGGTTTTCTTTTGCAAAGCTTTGATTGTTCTTCTAGATAAAATCTTCAGCGCCTACTTCAATGTGGGATTGTTCATGAATGGATATATCGAAGATTTGTCATTAGAATTGTAAATTTTTGTTAGCAAATTACGTAATGTAGAAAGCGCTAATTGGTTGGAAACTAAAGTAAGATTAAATAAGCAAGCTGGGTGACGTAACCTAATTGAAGGGGTCGAGTACAGCTCAAAATTGAACAAAAGTCAAGTTAACAACAGTGGTAATGAGGGGTATCGATGTAATAAGGGGTTGGGGAAGAGAATATAATACAATTAAGAAACAAACAAGCAGGAGAAAGACGAATCGAAATTACGTATTCGGTGTTAAGATAGGTCAGGTCCATTGCAAATCTAATGATTGAACAAATTTCTTTTGTATACAGAGTCCAGGATTTAACATGTGAATTGCCATTGCTTCTGCGATTTGAAGAAGTTTGATTCGTACTCTTTTAGTAAGATTCCCACGTATTCTGTAGATGACTTTGAAGTTACTTTGTGGGTTTGCTTGGTGTTCTGATTCGATCAGGTGTTCCAGAATAGAGCTTCGAGGGGACATTTTTTCTTCTTTATAAAACCATGAGGGTAAGTGTTCGATGATACGTCTGGATAACAAACTCTGGGTACGGCTGACATACCTAGCTCCACACAAGCAGGTGAATTTGTAGATGCTCATTGATGAGGCCAGACAACAGTGGTAGCTTATCCTTCACGTTCATGCGAATCATTGGTTTCGTAGAGGAGGTTAGTCGGAGTTCAGTCGCGAAGAGTTAGATAAATTCATGTGCCATGTATATCGAAACTGCCTCACAAACCCATCGTTTGACTTCCTCTCCTTGCTTGACACCCTACGCTTGACCTCAATATAGCCCACTATGTTAAACCAACTAGCGCGGGATATAGAATAGAAGCATCTGTGGTGAACGACAGTCTTTCACTTTCGACGATTACGTTTCATAGCCATACGGAAGAACAGAACACAGTTCCTCTTAGGAATTCATCACAGCTTACTTTCTTTATTACCATTCATGGTATCAAGCAGATCGCGTATTGTGATCGGAAGGATACATGTGATGAATTTCCACCTCGAAGTGTGTGTGTGTGTGTAATTAGAATACTTAGAACGACACATGTAAGCGAACAATATTGTGCTTTCAATTAGATCTCATCAGGCTTAACCCTAATATACATAAATAACTTTACAAATAAATGCTGAAATATAAATCAATCATGGTGATTTGTCTATGAGAGGATAAGAATATGCATAGAAATTGTGCAGCTGTAACAACAGAAGGCAAGAGTCAGGCAACAGATTGTTTATTATGGAAATCAACACATATCTATAGATTTTCATGTACATTATTATAGATTATTGTTAGCAGACAAACACAGTCTTCTGATTGGTTGTTTCTCACTCAAAGTTAATCTTTCATCTCTTTGTGGCTGTCTCTTGAATGTCAGATCATCTATCTGCTAATTGTATCCGTCTACGCACAGTCTGCTATCAGTCTTTGTTCTTGTTTTCACATGACTACTATTTGGGACATAAACACTGACGTAAACTACTGTCTACCAATCTGGCTAGCAGCCTGCTCTCACCACACTGCTAGTCATAGTGTGGTAAGAACTGTTTGCTAGCCAAAATTGTAGACAACAATTTACGTCAATGTTTACGTCTTGAATCGTTACAACAGTATTAATAATAACATCAATAATAATGCTTCTATCAATAACAAAGATGAAAAAGTGAGGCAATCTGTGATAACAAGAATAATGAAAAACAGTATGATTAAACAAACAAATGTTCAGGTAGACATAGTAGTCGATAAAGGCTAAGAAAAACAAATGGACCGATTAAGTAATGCTAGATTGTAAGGGAAGTAAATAAACTATGTTTTAGTGAAGATGTGATAAGATTAAAGGATGATAAGAGAAGGATTGAAAATATCAGTAAGGAATGGTTGTGACGTCGGTGGCACAGTGGGAGAATGCTCACCAACCACTCATGCAGTCCAGGGTTC